CCCCCCCAGCACAAAGACACAGACATATACTCTCAGACCCTCCCCCCGAGCAGCCCCGCCCCTCCCTCCTCCAGCAGTCCGCCCTCTAAGTACACCCCTGAGCTGCCCTCCATTTGAGCCTCATCCCTCTCTTCAGCATGTCGCCTTGCCCTTTGGCACCCAGCCAGCAGGAAGCTGCCTTTGCGCTGTCGTTTTGTTGGGGGCGGGGCTGGCAGGTGGCGGGGGGGATCACGTTCCTCCTCGCATCAGCACACAGACTGACACCTCCTCGTTAACCTAATTATCTGCAGTGGGTCAGCGTGGGCAGGCATCAGGCAGGGTTAGGGTGGGTGGCTAGGAAAGTGGCAGCGGTCATGTGACTATAAACAAGCAGGAGCTGGGGGGGCAGATAATAGTGGGAGGGATGGGGGGGTGTCTGAGATCAGGACAGGAACCCAGGAACAGGAGGCAAAGGAAAACAAGGAGAGAAATGAGAAGAGAGAAGCTGACAGCAAGCAGGGAAAGCTGGGGGACGCAGGGGCCAAATAGTGTCCTCAAGTCACACAGACAGGCAGAGAGACACGGAGACAGACAGAGAGCGACTGACAGGCAAAGACACACAGACACACAGACACACAGATACGTGCACGTGCTGAAGTTGGGCCCTGGCACAGTCCTCACACAGCAGCCCCAGCAGAGGATGCCAAAAGCTACACTGGTTTTGATGCCCCACCCATAGCTGCCCTCTAATTAAGCGCCTGGATTTAGCCTTGACATCCCGCTGACGGTGTGCCACGCTGGAACGCCACCCGCCCCCGGAGATGCAGCTCCCCCAAGTCCTGCACCGGCTCTGCCCCGCCTTACACAGACGGGCAGCCTGCATACCCACCTGCGAAGCCGGAGCCAGCCTCCACTGTGGACCAAAGAGTAACTGCCCAACGTGTGCTTAGACCCCAACAAGGAACTCCTCCACACCACCCCCTAAAGGCCAAGGTGACAATATTCTGCCATCTGAGGATGGCCACTCGGCCGGTTTTTTAAGGTTACAGGAGGTGCCGCCCTGCAGGCAGCCGCAGGGCCTGAATGCATATTACTGCGCATGACTATACATGTGGCAGGCAGTGCCAGCATAACAACAACCGCCACTGTAATCAGAGCCCAGCGGCCCGGCGGATAGGCGGCCCGGCACAGGTCACACAGCTGTCTCTCGACTGGCCTCCGAGCTGCAAAGCCAGGGAAAATGGCCAATGGCAGATAAATCAAACTGCAAAGAAGGGAGGCGAGAGGAGGGGCAGCAGAGCCCAGGGCCCGCGAGGACCGACCCCCCCAGCCACCCTCCCAGAAAATCTGTTCCCCCAAGAAGCTTCACTTTACTCTCGCTTCCGCCTGTGTAACTTTTCCATTCCCTTCTCTTTTGAAAAACTGGTGGAAATGCAAGCAGTTTCTCAAAAGGCACCAAGCGAGAACCAGCCCAGCACCGGCGCCGGCTCCGTGCCGGTGGAAAAGAGGTCTCCCTCATTCCCCCTCTCGCCCCCCCCCCTTCCAACCAACTGACCTGCTCCTGCTCAGCACACACACTCAGGCGGATGGTGGAAACATTATTTGAGCACCAGTGGAAACCCAAGGCAGGTCATGACCGGAGAGCTTTCTTCCAGTCGAGCTGTTACCCAGGGCTGCTGCTCCTCTGCGGCAGCCTGGCGCCTCGGCGGGCAGGCAGATCGATGTGTGGAGGAAGCCGGCAAGGTGCATTAACGCATCACGCCCGGCACTCTGTGGGGTCAGGCTTCCCAGGGGTCGGCATGCAAGGAGGAGTATCGTGATAAGGCCGCAAAGGCAAGAGGAGCTCACTCTCCCTCTCTCTCTCACTCACCCAGTCTCCCTCTCTCTCTCCCCCGACCCCCCTGGCTCCCAGGTCATTGCCCAGCCCACTAACAGGTACCTGAGTACACATCCAAATCCTGAGGGGCAGCCCCCCCCCCCCCCAGCAGCATCTTAATTAACCAGTTTCCACTGCTGTGGTGACAGCAGTACAGAGCAGGGGGAGGAAACCTGATAGAGACTGTCATAGCAGCAGCCCCTGCAGGTTTCCATGGCGACAGCCGCGCGGAGCAGGTAACGGGGCCCTCTCCTGGGACTCCGCTCGGGTGGCCCTGTCACTTTTATCCCTCTCGGCTCCTGCACTCTTCTCTCTCTGCTACTCCGCCGCCCCCAAACCCCGGCAAATGTCATCTACGTCGACAGTTCGCGGTCACCTGACAAATCACCCCCCTCTACGTTTCCCCAAAAATGGAAAAGCAAGTCAAGCACCTGGCAGCACAGGTCCGGCTGATGTGCTTCCACACACCTGGCCACTGCACTGTCCCCCACACCATCCCCCCCTCCCCCGAGCAATGATCGCGAACCCCATCTCCGCCCGGTTAATGCCCGCACTTCCCCAGTGGCTCCTGGGGGTGGACACTGGGGTGGCCACAAGGTGTGCACTCGTGAGCGTTACGGGCGTGAGCGTTACGGGCGTGAGCGTTACGGGCGTGAGCGTTACGGGCGTGAGCGTTACGGGCGTGAGCGTGGAACACGCCGGTGCTGACGGCAGCGCCAGCACATGGAGGTGCTTTCCGAGACAGCGAGGGACATCGCTTCACACGTCTCCGCACCACACATTCCTCACTCTCCCTCTATAGCACCCTTCATGCCCAGATTCACAGCACAAAACAGTGATTCATGGTAAGTTCCTGCCAATGGTGGTCGCACACTCTAGCGTGATGTCGGCACTGAGCCTCCTGCACATATATTTATATGCACACAAGCTCTCGCACGCCCACGCACACACACGCACGCACGCCCTGCCGGCTTCACGCTCCCTGCTTCTTACATACACAGTGTCTGTGTCTCTCCCACTTGTGAAAATGTTCTTTTCATCTCTCCAGGAAGTTGCCCCCCCACCCCACACCACCCCACCCCCAGTACAGTGTGGTGTGGCTGAAACATCCCTCACTGCCCCCCAGAGGCATTAGGAGGACAGGCTGGGAGGGGCCTGCCCACAGACGCAACCACACACGCAACCACACACGCAACCGCAGCAGTAAGGAAAAAGCTGGGGGGGGGGGAGGTGTTCCCACCAGAAACCCCACCTTGATGGAAAATGGCTGAAGATGCAGCCTTGTGCTTCATTCCTCAAGTGAGACTACACCGCTGAGCCCCGGCTGAGAGCCATCGCCCCCAACGTGACGCTGCCCCCGGAGGACAGAGCGATGCGCTCCACCTCAGCCCCATCGATCGACGACCGCCTCACACCCCAGAGCGTGCTGGTATGCGCATATCCAAATGAGAGAAGACAGCAGCTAGACTGGGAACCAGTGAGAACAAAGAGCTGAACTGGAAACTGTGGTCCTGCTACTGGATTAGCTAGAACTTCAAACAGTGGAAACTGGAACTGCAATGGGAACAGGGAGGAGGAGCAAGCAACCTGCTCCCCCGTCTGGCTTCCTTTAGAAGGATTTATATTGAGGTCATTACATATGGACCACTGTGTATGTGTGTGTGTGTGTGTGTGTGTGTGTGTGTAACGTTTCCAAAAATAATTCAACCATACTTTATATATACAAAAACATCCAGGAAAATGTGCACGTCTTGCAAACCAGCATTAAACAGCTACCGACATTAAGTTGAATGACAAAAATCACGGAGCAGCATGCAAAGGGCGCACAGGTAAAGCACAGTCAGCACAGAGACGCAGGCGGCCGTGCACGTCACCGGTCTGCCCGCGATAGTTACTGACGGGAGGCTGCCGTAACGTGACAGCCATCCCAGCGAGCCGGTCACAAATACATACCCCCCAATACAATATAAGGCAAGAAAAACACATTAATATATTTTATGCCGTAAAGCAAGCAGTCATGAACATAATCAGGTTGGATACCGTACCACCCTGTCAGAGGACGGCTATGAAATGTCTGTCTCGTATCTGCCATTTTTTTTACCTAAACGTTTCGATCACTCCCCCCTTATTCACTTGATCGCTCAGGTTGTAGGGAAGCTCGTTTCTACACAGTTTTACCTGCTGCGATTTGCAATGACATCACCTCTTTCTCCCTCCCCGCACCCACCCTCCCCTTCCCCCTCTCTCCCACCGTCCCTCCTTTCCCACCTTCTCGGCTCGCCAGCCGTCTCCCAACCCCCAGAAACATAGCGACACACAGCAAAGTGACACCTTGGCTCCGGCCCTGACCCCGACCGAGGCTTTGGGGGGGATCGGAGAGACGCACGGCCGCCTCGCAGCTGACAAACGTGCATGTGCGCCCATACAACAATAATCAAATAATGATGGATGGGCCGGGGCTTCAATTAAAGCCTGAACAGCAAGAGGGAAACCCTGACCCCCGGAAGCGCACAAAGCCTTGTAATTAGGCCTTAATTGGAGTCGACGCGCTAATTGCGTTTCTTACAAGCATTATCACAACATTTCGACTCCCCTCTGCGGGTTTCCCAAAGCGGCGACAAATACTGGCAATTTACAGCGGAGCCCAGACCCCGACAAAGATCCTGTGTGTTTTATTTTTACCGTATATGAAAAGAGGGCAGTGTGGTTAGCGGAGCGTACAGGCTGATGCAGAAAGATGGGGGGTAACTCGTGTGCTACCCGACCGCAGCCCGAGGTGAATAAAGCTGAGGCCGGAACCATGCCAATAGACAGAGAACGTGGAGTGAGCGATAAAAAAATACGACGATGCAAATCGGTGCTTTTAGGGTAAAATATAATCGCCGAAGATGTTAGGGGGGGGAGCCTTCTTGGAAGAGTTAGGCAAGCAATGAAATATGGGTCGGTTCAGTACTAGCCGACCCCCCCAGCGGCAGCTCCTGTAACCTCCTCACGATCGGTGTCCCTAACGCACACACACCGGCCAGGCTGCACCGTGTCATATTCATCCCTTAAAATCCGCGATCGTACAGATCTCTCCGCCGCGTCGCCTTTATCCAGACAGCGACAACAGGACACAATAAGCGGCGGAGCGGCTCCCGCTTACCAACGCGAGGTCTCCCAGCGCCAGGAGGAGCGACGCCAGCGCCATCCAGCAGGGCAGCTTCATGGTGCTCCGAGCTCGAGCAGCAGTGCGGGGGTTGCGCCTTCGCCTCGATCCGCGCTCCCGTGCGATGTAACGCGCTTTCCCCTCCTCTTATTCAATCTCCAACTTCAGTCCGAGCGTTTCGCTGTAACATGCATCCGTTTTGATAAGCGATCTCGGATTTTAATCCCTCTAGAGCTGCCTCGCCCTGGCCTCTGTACTCCGAAAAGCAGCTGAATAAAGGAATCCGCGTCCTCTTCTTGCTCGTATTATTTTCTTCGGACTTCTCTGTGTGTTCTGAACTAGATAGATTTACTACGGGCTTGGGAGACCCTACACCTCATCCGCTCCCTCCTTTCAGCTCACTCTCTCTCGCGCCCTCCCTTTCTGCTCACCCCTTCCTCCCTCTCCGCGATCACCCCCTCCTCCTCCTCCTCCTCCTCCTCCTCTCTATCCGCCTAAACGCGACTACAAGCCTTGTGCAGGAAATGCCTCAAGCGGCTCAATAGTACGGCTGGGGATAGACGATGAGCCGGAGTGTTTCCGCTGGCGGACGAGGATGCCCCCTGCAGCTCAGACTCGCATCCAGGCGCTGGTCAGTCCCCACCTTCCGTGCTCGGTGGAGGATGAGCGAGGGAAACGCAAGTCCGTGGGGTGTTTCATTAGACGACGCTAAAATATGTCAGACCGATCGTACGGATATTTTGAGGAATTGCTAGGGAAGATATTATTGAGGTCGTCAAACAGCAGCTTCTGCTGACTTTGATGTTGCCAGACGCCCATCGCCTCATGGCCGGAAGCGGAAAAGCGCTGTCCAAGAAAATCACCCCCGCTAGATACCGATGGCCCATGGGCTTGACAGGATCTGAATCATATCAAATTAATAATATAGGTCATTATTTAAAGACCTGCTTTGTTAAATTGTACGCAAGTTCCAAACAACTCATCATCTATACGTATGCAGTAGGCCCACATCAAGAATATTATCTTATTTTAATAATAATAATCATCACTTGATTGTTTTATTTACGCCTCCCTCAACTTGTTCTTTGTAAGCCGGATGTCCGCGAGGGGCAGCCACCCATGGCAGCGCCCAGGGTGAAGGACCCGCAGACGTACTGAGGCTGGGTTTGAACCGGCGACTTGGTGATTACAAGCACACAGGCTTAGCCCACTGAGACACACGTTATCCCCTTAATGAATACATTTGTCCAGCTTAATTTTTAAAGTGTCATGCTTTAAATTTAAGTATACCTCTTTAAATAATAAAAAAAGAAAACTTCATTACCATGCACTACTTGTTTTTTTTTACCTCTTAATGGTGTGAATGGCCAGGGAAGCACAAAGCAATCACCTATAATGGCACTTATTGTCTGTGGTTGAATGCCTTTATACACCAATGTATTGCATTTAATGTGATTTAAGTATCTACTTGACAGATACGTCAAACGGGTCTGGTTCCTCCTAGAACTTAAATTGGGAACATATTTTAATAGCAGGTCCATAGCCAGGGCCGTTGTGTCATTTACTGCCTGATGGGATATTTCAACTAACTGTTTTTCCAGAAATAATGATTAAGTCCCACATAAATATGGGTTTAGCTCCTCACACAAATGTACAACTGTAGTTCCCTTCCAAGAATTTAAATCTACAGCTCTTAATTGATTCTCTTCTGATCAGTATTGCTCTTGACCATATGTAGGCCTGTGTTGTGAATCATCCATGCTACGTTTGGGCCATTTTAACATCTCTTCGCCATCCAGTTTCCTCCTGTGCATCTTGATTTAGATGATTGCTGAATTAGTGTCAAGTTCCAGTCATTTATCTGACGTTTACAGTAGAGGGAAGGGTTACAATTCTGCATATGTCTCCTTGGGATTTGAACCCAGGTAATGCTCTCCTTGATAAGCTACAGAAGCCTGCTATTTGCATCGATGTTTTCCATCCATATATTTTAAGGCCAGTTTCTTACACCACATAGGTTCATTAGGATGTTCAGTCACATGAATGACTGGCCATAGACTGCAAGCTTAACTGTGGTTGGGCTGGCTTTTTGTGAATACACGGTCAGAAAACAGGGTACAGCCTGGGTACAGTTTTGTCCCCCAAGTTACAAACAACATTAAGGCACCCCAAATGGTACAAATTGGTACCATTTGGGGTTCGTGGGCCAATTCAGCATCCTGCTGGTCCATTTCTATACCTTAGAATGTATTTTTACCTGCAGGTAGTGTACAATTGGCAGACCCTTGAGGGTACAGCCCCGGGAATAAGTAATTGTACCCTCAAAGGTACAAATTGGTACTTTTTTGGGATCGCTCTCCTTTGCAGACCTCATCCGACTACACCGTCTCCGTCGCTTGCCCTTGGGGTTCGAGGCCCGGCGCAAACACAGCAACGCTCCTATTATCGCCATCCGTATACAACATTACACAATTTAAATTTAGAAGCACGGGATCCACCAGTCTTTCCCATAAAAGCTGTTAACGTAATTAACATTTTCCACGAACACCTCGTGTTCGCAGGTACTAATTTAGCTCGCAACATATTACATGCAAGACCTAAAACATATTTTATTGGCTTTTATAAATATAAGTGTACTTTCGTGCCTTTTGGAAATGATAGCGATAGAAAACAGCGAGATTAACAATAAGTAATATGCTGTGAATCCCCATTGTAACCTTACGAAAAATGTCATTTGAATGATTATCATCATTAGTCTTTTCGATAAATATAAATTACACAAATCCTGCAAATTATTCTTAGATTACTCACCATTTATCTTCCATAAACTCTTATCTTGTACAGGGCTGAGGCCAATGTCAGTACAGGGAAAAGGCAAGGGTATACACACACACACACACACACACACACACACACACACACACGCACACACGCACACACACACACACACACACACACGCACGCACACACGCACACACAC